CCGGGGCTGACCCCAGCCATGGGCACCGGCCACGGGGCCGGCGGTGCCGAGCTCTGGCACGGTGAGCTGCCTGCACCTGCCTGCCCGCTGCCCGCACCGGCACCGGGGTCTCTCGCCGCGCCACGGCCGCTGCGGTGCCTGCCTTGGACACACTGACTCTGCGGCTGAGCCCACGACACCGGACAGGGCGCGTTTCCATACAAAATTCCTTTCGTCTGTGGCTGAATATAGTCAGATTTTCTCACAGCCTCAAAACTGCAGGAAAGGAAGTTTTTCTCTCTTGGCAGCTCCAATTTTTTTTGGGAAAACTCCCCCAGCTTTGAAAAACAAGCCAAAGCTATATTTGCCTCTGCTCTGTACATCCCGCTCATGAGTGAGATGACTTCTGTTCTCGCATGCTAGATATTTTTACATATGACATGGTCTCTCGTTAAATGTATTTGTAAAATCATTCTTTTTATTTAACTTACCCTTTGAAGTCCTGGAGTGTGATGGTGTCTCCCAGAAAACTTAAGAAGTTCTTGAAGGCAGTGCTCTCTTCGTTATTGCCAAACAACTCCTCCTCTTGGGTCTGCAAAACACCGGACGCATCTTTTGAGAGCCCCGGCCCTGCCTGTCCCCGCCCGCCCAGGCTGGGCAGCACCCGCCAACACCGGCTCCGGGGCAGGAGGAGGGTCTGGCCGTGGCTCCGCCACCGCGGCGTCGGTCTGGTGGCGCCGCAGAGGCCCCTGTGCTGCCTGAGCCGAGCGTGACCAAAGCATGACCAAAGCCACCGTCCCCAGCGGCCGCCACACGCCGGGATGGCCCTGCGTCCTCGGGTCGCTCTGTGGGTGCTACGGACACGACGACGGACACCACTAATGTGAAAGGTCCCTTTGAATGGCCCTTCTCCACGTCACCCTGCTCTCAGAACACAAATGAATCCTCCATGGGAAAGTCCAAGCCTTAATCGTCCCTTGCACAGAACAACGAGACCTTAACTACAGTCTTGCACGAGTTAATCCAAACTAAAATGCGATACATAAAGATAATTAGAGCTCCTGTCAGAATAATCTTCGGTGAGTTATAAGACTCAGCTGCCTCTGCACTCCCCATCCGGAGTCCCTCGGCTAATGACAGCGTTTTCAGCAAACGCGTGGCTTCGTAGCCCACAGTCCTCCAAGACAAATGCAACGGCGTCGCTGTCTAAACATATATCTGATTAAAATACCACGCCTGCTAAAATCCATTTTCACATCCGCTTTTCCCTACAGCAGTTTGTGGGCTGACTTCCATACTGAATTTTTACAGTCACATCATTTTTTAATGAGTCAGGGAAACATCCGAGCAGTAAGAAATGAATTATTAGTGAGGACACCCAGTAACACAACGTGTTGTCTGTGACTGAATTAACTGCGGGGCCGGTTTTGCACTTGTGAAACCCAGACAAGCGGGGATGTGCTCCCTGAGAACGGCACGGGGGTTACTCACCTGCCTGAACTTCTGATAGATCACACCGAACTTGAACGTGTTGTTGACCTCATGCTCATCATAAGACACTATCATCTGGGACGCCTGCAGCAAAGCAAAACACAAACTAATTCATGTGGCTGTCCGAAGCGCGACGTCCCGAAGAGCAAGCTCGGTACGGCTCCTCGTGGGGGGCGGTGGGGCAGAGCCCCCCGAGGGGTACGCAACGGCCAGGCAGCGCCCAGGGGAGCAGAAGGGGGGCAGAAGCCAAATTTCTACATAATTAGGCCAAAAGCTTTCACCAGCGTCCCTGCAGCCTCCGCTGCTGACAGTCCACCTGCGGGCTTTGGGTGGGCGCTTCCGCCCCAGCGCCCGGGTGTGGTGGGGGCTGTGGGGAGCCCCGACTGCTCACGGGTTTTCTGAGGGAAGTGTGGGGCCCTTTGGGTGCAAGTACCAGCAGTTCCCGTGGCGCCCCGGCCCCTGGTCCCAGCCCCATCCTGCAGGGACCGAGTCGGAGACGCTTTTCTTCCCCCATCGGCTGCTCCCCAACTTCCAGACAGGGCTTCGATTGCAACACCAGTAATGACAACGGGTGAACGAAACTGGTTTGGCCTTGGCTGCATCAGAGGGTGGTGAAACTGCCTTACAACTTACTGCTGTGCCTGCCTCATAAAAGCTACTTGAAAATGATGGAATTTTTTTGCAGCTTCCCGGGAGCGGGTCTCTATGGCAGCACAGGAGTGCGCACGAGGAGAAGAGATCCCGGAGTGGCCAAGAGTCAGTCTGGGTGCGTCACCGGTGGCGCTGCCCCCCGGATAAAACACTCTGTCCCCGCAGGGACCCTCCCGCCTCTGCATCTCTTCCTGCAGGGCCTCTCCAGCACAGGCTCAACCCGTCTCACCGGGTTTTGAGCAAACCTTAAGGCATCAAACCAAGATCCCGGTTGGTTTTACACCCCACAGATGGTCGCCCTTCTGTCCTTCCCCATGATTCAAGGCCAGATTAATACCAAAGCGCCATCAGTCCCTGGTGTCCGGTTGACACAACGAGACGGTGGCATGCGCGTGCCATCGGACGGCTGCTGGGAAACCCAGAGCCCAGCGCCGCTGCGCTGCTCACATCCCCTCTGCAGCCAGGCACGCAGGTAGAGAGCTGGAAAGGTGCAGTACAAATATCGATGCTCTGTACCAAAGCAGCCACTGGATCTTTGAGAAAAGGGGAGAACTAACCCTCTCTGACCTTCCCTGCCCAATACGTGACTGACTGGGGTAAGTTACCTCACCTTGGGGTACAGAACTGGGTTAAACTTCAGCCCAGAGGCGTCATCACAGAAGGCCTGTGGGCAAGGGGAAAGAGCAGTCAGTGCCGCGTCCCCGGGCGTGCACACAAAACCCCCCGGCAGGGCTGGGAATGTCTTATAAGGGAGCCAAATCCAGCCTCCAACTGCAGGGGCTCCCTGCTCCACATCCTCTCATTGGCTGCCCCGTGGCCTGGCTGGCACCCGACTGAGGATGCACCAAGGTTCCTCCATGGGTCAAAGCTGCTGTCGCTTCCTCACCTCTTCCCCCAGATATCAACCAGTGACCTGCCTGGGGTTCACGGGAAACCAACAGACCGTCACGTGCCAAGCACCCCTGGACCCAAGAGCACTGTTACCCAACACCACCCAATGTCACCCAGTGCTGCTCAACGCTACTCAATGCTGCCCAGTACAGCCCAATGCCACCCAACACCGCCCAACACTGCCCAACACTGCCCAACACCGCCCAACACCGCCCAACACCGCCCAACACCGCCCAACACCGCCCAACACCGCCCAACACCGCCCAAGGCACCAGGCGCAGCAGCACAGGCTTCACGGCAGGTATCCCAGCCCAGCCGGTCATTTTACCTTTGCAATCTGGGGGATACTGGGGAGCTTGCTAAATCCTGCCAGGGGGATCCTTTCATGCAATGTCTTCACTTTGGACCTAGCAAAGAAAAAGAGACGAGCAGAAATCAGGGAGTGTCCAAGGCAAAGAGACACTGGGCAGCCGCCCGCTCGCCAGCCCTGCGGCGTGCACGCAGCGATGCTCCGCCGGCTGTTGGGAAACAACGTTCTGCAGAATTTGTTGGGTCTGGTTAGCAAGCAAAGGCTCAATTTTTATTCTCATCTCTGCAGCTCTTAAAATATTCATAGTTTTGGAGGGAAATGACACAACAGTCAAGACGCGCTGGGTCCTGTCAGCTTACAGAGGGACGGCGATAGATGTGACTGGTATTATCCCGTGTCACGGAGAGGTTTACACTCAGTTTCAGCGGGTTTAGCAACAGATCAAAGCCTCGTGTTCATTACCGGGGTGAGGCAGTTCCAGCGCAGAAACAGTAAAAGGACGATGCTGCTGGTTCCCGTCCCACCCCGAGCCCCTCCGTGAGTGACAGCCAGCGTGCTGCCAGCCCGGCCCCAGCATTTACCACAGAAACAAAACAAGGGACTCCCAGAGAGAAAATATTTTGCTAAACAAAGCTGCTTTTTTTTCCATACCTGAGTATAATCCTTAAATATTCCGTGCCATCTGCCTCCTCACACTTAATAGAAAGGATCAGATTTCCAAGGCTGCTGGCTGTACAATAAAAATTTAAATGATCCTAAAAATAGAAAGCAGCGGGTTAGCGGTGGGGGAGGCAGCCTGCTGACGGCAAGGACGCTGCCCCGCACCCGGCCGAGGGCAGAGGACTCGCCTGCCCCCCGACACCCCCGGAGACGCGCCCTCGCACCCCCACTCGCAGGGACCAGGGCTTTAGTCCCTCCGCCCGTGGATTTAGGCGCGCTGCTCTCAGCTGGGCGCAGGGGAGAGGGAGGACGGCAGACTGTGAGCAGGAGGGCGGGCAGCTCCCGCGGGGGTCCCCCGCGCCCCAGGTCCCCGCAGACGGAGCAGGCTCAGAGCCAGCGTGCCCACCCTGAGGCTGGGGGCAGAGGCCACGTGTGTGGCCACGGCTGGTCACCCGCCAGTCCCCTCCTCTCCTTGACACAATGGAAGCTGCAACATTTGCCCATTTTTTCCACAGTTTTAGAGTTTCTTTTCTTTTCTTGGCGGGGTGCGTGTGCAATTTTCAGCCGACCGCTGGTCCCCTGCGGCGGGGACACCCACCTTCCCCAAGAAATGCTTCCTGTAGGCTCTGGCCTCCCCTTTGCACTCCAGCTTGTAGCCGTAGGTGCTGGGGCTGAGGTTCTCCTCCTCCTCCTCGCAGACGCTGCTGTCGGACGAGGTGGGCGTGCCCAGGTTTTCCGGGTCTTCGATCCAGTATCCCCCGAACTGGGGCAGGATGATCAGCGGGTACGGGCTGCCCTTCTCCAGGATCTGCAGAGACGCACCCATGAGGGTCGGGCAGGAGCAGGGGGCAGATGTGGGGTGCAGGGGCCCATCGCCCCGTGTCCTGCCCTCCCCGCTGCCCCCTCCTGCAGCAGCCCCAGCATGGTGGGGGGCAAATCCAGCCCCTCTCTGAAACCTCCCTGGTCTCTCCTCGAAGGGGGAAGCTGCTGCCAAAGAAAAGCAGGAGCCGAAACAGTGGGGAGGGGGAATGTGCTTTGTGCAGCCCCTCTCGGAACCCGAACCTCCACCAGCTCCCCTGTTATCGGCAGTTCTGGGAAGGCTTTTGCCGGAAGGTGTTCAGGGAGGCTGAGCGCACCCACCTCATCGATGCTGGGGTACGGGATGTAGTCTTCCTGGAAAGAGGAATGAGAACACCACGTATGAGCGTTTGTCCCCCGCCAGCCGTCCCTCAGGACCACAGCCCTGCACACCCAGCCCGGGGAGCGCTTCCAGCCGCCCGCCGCACCAATCCCTCCACTACCAGGGATTAATTAATAACGGCCCGGAGCGAGCGCTGGGCAGTAATGGAGAGCGGTGCCACCAGGCTGCCCGGGGACCCGGCCCGGGGACCCCTCCCCGCCCGCAGGGACGCGCTGCAGCAGGGTCAGTCCTGCACCAGCGGCGTCTCCCGCATCGCCATGAGCTTCTCGGCTCTGCGGCAGAACCCAAGCGCTCGGCACAGCTCGCCGCGGGAGCACAGGGGTTTGGACGTAAAGCTGGATTAGGGATTTACAGGCACCAGTCTCTCATCTTTGCAGTTCAGTCAGTGCCTTGTTTTTAGATAACATTTAAATCCTTTTCAGTCCTTTGAGTGACTGTCTTTGACTATACACATTAAAGCTCTGAGATAAGCGGGGAACAATTGAAGAGATCTGTGCAAAAACAAAATTTAACCCACCTTATGTTTTTGGCTTCCAGTCCTCTGTTCTTCAAGTTTTGGTGCCTGATTGGAACAAAACGAATAGATCAAATAATTAAGATGTTCTCAAGAACACAGACAAAACCACAAGGGTATTGTGCTACATGGGAATCCCTCTGACACGAGTGGCATGAAAGGAGGGAGCTTCTGCCTGGGACGAGCCGGGCAGAGGTGCCAGGGTGCCAGGACAGCCCCCGGCGTAACACAGAGAAAACGGTGACAGGGACATCCCGGGTGGGACACGACCCGGGACACGGCGATGCGACACTGAAAATGTCTAAATGTGAGGCAGGAACGATCGTTTCCCAGGTGCCGGCACAGCGCCAAACACAAAATGCTGCTGCTCACCTGCATTTTTTCCAGCATTTCGAAGAATTCTGCAGACTGAAAAAGAAAAGAAGGAAATCTCCAGTTCAATTAAGCAAAACTGAGGCAAACCAGCCCAAGCCACATCAAGGAAGGGACACTGGAACCCCCACTCTGCACCGGGCTGTCACACCCTGCTCAGACAAGGGACACAAGTGACTTAGGTTCGTCTTGTCTCCCTCGTCTGAGCGGGACGTGACAGGGGCGCTCCGGCTCTGGCCCTCAACGGGAATGGAAAGAAGAGACTGTACCTGTCCAGCCCCGCCGGGCCAGCGGCCATCCCACACCAAGTGCCCCCTCCGCAGCCGTGGGCAGCGCACGGAGCAGCGAGCGGCAGCAGCTCCCCACCTCCCCAACGCCTCCTGCTCGGCCTTTCATTTCCAAAAGAGCCGGAGTGACGCTGCAGAGCTTGTCCTGCTCCCGTCCAGCCCGGCTCAGTGCTTGGGCTTCGCGCTGCAGCTCACCACGGCCGGTAACATGCAGCCCTGGCACCTTCCCAGCCCGCTCTGCATATGGTTTGATAACGGTTCTTCTGCCATTGCTCCTTCTAACCACAGCAGTGCCGGTGCCCGCCGCTCCACGACAGGCTGCTCGCTTCTGCACAGCGGGCACTGGATCTCGGGGGTCGGGCGGGGAGAAAACCCGTCCGGCTTCAGGCGTGGGGTTTGTGAGGGCGCGGGGATGTGGGGCAGAGCTGGTCCCACCGCGGGCACAGGGACGGGGCGCGAGTGCCCTGGCAGGGACCTGTGCACACAAACCAGCCGCAAAAAACTTGCCTTTTGAAATGAAACAGGCCCAGACCGATCGATCCGAAAAAAAGCAAATAAATACTCTGGCGAGTGAGACAGCTACAGCAGCCCTCCCCGCGACCCCGACCTTGAGAGGCGTGAGCCCCGGGCTCTGCCTTGCAGCGGCTGCGGAGGTGCCGGCCACGCCACCGCAGGCTAACGGCTGCGGGAGCTGTGCGGCCCCTGAGCACCCCAAGGTGCTGCAGCACACGCGGGGCACGTGGAGCACGCGGCTCCTGTGCCTTCGGCAGAACCAAACCCAGGCCGGGAAGAGCCCACCGCAGCCTCTCCAGGTGAGGTGCCAAAGCCACGTCTGTCCTGCCTGGCTGCGCTTGTGCCGGGGCGAGGGGAGGCTGCCAGAAACCCCAGCCCTGCCCTGACCTCCCTGCGCTGCCCAAAGGGGCCCGGTCCTGGCCACAGCCAGCACCCTGACTCGGCCCTGCCATGATGTTGGGGCAGAGATGGGTCTGCCTGGCACGGGCACGGCCCCACCAGCACGCACAGCCCTGGGGAAACTGGTGCTCCACAAGCAAGCACTGGCCTCCTGATTCCCTGGGCACCCGTGGGGTCACTCCTCAGCACAACAACTGCTGAACGGCAGCTGGATGACTCTGGTCCCTCATCCTGCTTTTCCTGCTCTCAAGCGCACACAAATAATTATCTGGTCAAACTACAGCTGTAAATGTCGGGGCACTCCCAGTAAACTAGTAAGTGGCTTTTCTGGAGACATGATGCAGCAGCCCTGTCCCTCCTCTCCCTCATCCTCCCCCCAACATCTCTAGCCCAGCCACCAGCCACGCTCCAGCTGCAGCCAAGGGGCTCGCGAGAGGCCGGGGCCACGGCAGATGCTGCCGGTCCAAGAGGGAGAGCAGAAAGCGGGATCAGCAGCTCCAGTGCTGCCGGCCATGAGAAACCAGTCTGCAGAAAAGAGATGTGAGGTTTGGGGCAGAAAGGGCCACAGCACCAAGGAGAAAGGCATGGGGGGGGGGGTGACATTTAGTGAGCTCTTAGAATAGACTCAATTCCTCAAAAGACAAAAAAGAGATAAATAGAGGAGGAGATGAAGAAAAGAAAATCCAGCGAAGACCAAAGGAAAACCTCTGAGAGATTTCCTTACTGAGTGTGGGGAGCACAGGTTAGTTTTACAGCACGAGCAGCCTGGCGAGAGCCCTCGGTGACACCAGCTGGGACGGGGGCAGAGGCTGCCAGCACAGGCGGGCACCGCCGTGGCTCGGCCACAGCCCTGGCCGAGGAAAAACGAACCCTGGGCTCAGAACCCAAAGCTGGAAGCACTTTAAAAAGGCTTTTCCTTATTTTGAGCTTGGTTTAGATTCTGGTTTATCTTTAGGTCTCTGTGAGGGACAAACGTGCTTTGAGTCAATTAAAATGTTTCCAGGCCCCACTCTGCCCGCAGCCGGAGCCCGAGAACCAAACCAGGGCAGCACCGGATCCACCTGCCGGAGCAAGTTCCAGCAGAAAACGTGTTTAACAGAGCAGACAGCAGTCTGCGCCCTGCAGGGATTTATGCATACTTAAAGCCAACTTTAGGGCCACAAATATTTTGGCAATTAAAGTGGAGACAATTACACCTTTGTGACACCCGGCAGGACGCGATGTCACCTGCGGCAGAAAGGTTAGGCTCACCCCGCTCAGGTCCCCCAGACTCTGCTCCAAACCGAACCTCCATCTGCTTCTTGAACCCAACCGGGGGCAACCCCAGCGCGACAGCCGTTCCCCTGCCACCTTTGGCAGGACAAACCTGCCCAGCAGCTTGTCCTGACAACCTCAGAAATGCAAAATATTTGACCCAAAATGGTTTAGGGGCTATTCCTTCCCTGCTCACATGTCCTCACCCCTCGCCGCTGAGCACGCGACGCCGGCAGCGTGACAGGGGACGGACAGCCACGTCCCCGCGCTTCAGCTCGGTAACGATTCCTCTCCGACAGCACCAGGGAAGACACTGGGTGCGAACAGCGTCTGTTCCACCACCCCGGGGTGAGCTCAGGGGCGCCTGCAGACGAGGAGCGCTCAGAGCAGAAGCTGCAGCCCAGCCGGTGGGTCCCTGCTCGGGAGCTTTCTGCAGAGAACGACACCGCGAAAGAAAACCCTGCGCCAGGCGGGAGCCGCCAAGGCAGGAGCAGCAGGGCAGAGCTCGGGCCAGCACCCTCCCCGCGCTCCCCCCGTGGGTCGGTCAGCACTCACCAGCAGGTCCTGTAAGAAATCCATCACCTTCTCGGCGTCCCCCCCGCATGGGCCGCGCAGCCACGGCTGCTGCCACCACCGGATTTCCTCGTGGGCACCCGGCGTGAGCGGGCGAGTGCCAGCCCGGCCATCCCTCCCCAGCCCCGACACCTCCCTTCGTTAATGTTTCTCCAAGCCGGAGGCACGGCAGGACTGCTGCTTTGTTATTTCAAAGGGTGGCTCCCCTGGGAGGCCAAGAGCCCCAAACAGGTTGGGCAGGAAGCAGGTGAGGGTTTGCAGGGGACGGGCAGCTGCCTGCCAGGATGCATGGCCCCGCGTGGGATGCACGGCCCTGGGTGGGATGCATGGCCCCGCGTGGGATGCACGGCCCTGGGTCTGATGCACGGCCCCGGGTGGGATGCACGGCCCTGGGTGGGATGCATGGCCCCGCGTGGGATGCACGGCCC